GCACAACTGCTGTGAGTAAGATGGTAAACTGTAATTTGTATTAGTTTATTTATCTCACACCAGATCAGAAATAGCCTGGGTTTTTTTGACATAATATTATTTATTAGATTAATATTTCGTGGCGATGAAAAACCAATGATATTTTCAAAAAGATTAAAACAATTGGTTTGTTAAAAGTGATTGGATATATTTCAATATTTACATTTTTTCCAGCCACCATCAAGACCAAAAATGGCAGTCAGCCTTTGTGCTCTTCGAGTAATATTCACACATCCTCGAACACTTCTATTGTTCTGTTATTCAAGACCAATATCTGCTTCGTCATCCTCAATGTGATATTCGGTCTTTCCAACGGTTTCCTTTGCTCTGTTGTAATGACACAAGTCCAGAGTAAGTTTCTTGGTTTGCCTTTTGCGCAAAGCTACATGAGGGCTAATTTAGCAATGAAATACTAGAGAGAAGGCATTATAATGCCCCCACAGCTGAAAGTGCGAGCATGTCTGGTGGGATGGGGATTCGTACCTGCTACCCTCATATTGCGAGTCAAGCACTCTAACCACCTGGCCATGCCAGGCCATTTTAGGTCATACTTACACGACTATTCTTTTTACTCTATAATTGGATACAATTGTTCAATACAACCTCGCCTTTTACATCCTATACAGACATTTTTTATAACTATCTAACAGGAAATTGACAAGGTCATGTCTCAGGCATTTTTTTCAACTTGTACTTACATACAATGGAAGTCGTTTTGAATATCTTAAATTATATATTTTTAGGCATCACATCTTGTAATGTAATGAAATTTTCAAGATTTTTTATAGCACACTTATGTGACTCACGCTATACTTTATACAACACATGGTGTTTTCATTTTAAGGTCATTCTTACACAACTGTTATTGGATCACCACTCTTTCCAATCCTAGCAGACATTTTAATGAAAGACTTTGTAGAAAGAGCCTTCTCATCCATACATATAAACATAAGTTTCTACAGACGTTATATTGACAACATTTTCATTATCTGGCCCCACAGTCATGAAAACTTAATAGCCTTCCTAGAACATCTAATTTCTATACACAAAAGAATCCACCTCACCATGGAAATAGAGGAACAAAACAGCCTATCATTTCTTCACATATTCATCAGCAGACAAGAGAAAAAAATCACCAGAACTGTATACAGAAAATCCACCCACACAAACAGATACCTACACTTCCATTCCTGTCATTCAAATTCTATAAAATGTGGTATAATCCAATGCCTAAACAAAAGAACAGAAAAATTTGTGATAAGTCATCCATCACAACAGAACGCAAAAAGATCATATAGTTCTTTAAACAGAATGGTTACACCTTCTACTTTATCAAAAACTCCCTGAAAAAGACCACAACAGAAAGAAAAGATGATGGAAACACTACCGCTACTACCATTTACCTCGCCTACCTGCAAAAATTCAGTGAAAACCTCGAATGCATAGCAAAAAAAGTCAACATAGACATCTGGTGGAAATCTTACAATACATTAAGATCCATTCTTATGAAAATAAAACAGAAACCTACAAATTAGAAACACAAAAACACCATTTATGAAATTCCATGCTCCTGCAATAAAACATACGGTAGAGAAACGAGAAAGAAGACTTGCAACAAGACTAAAAGAACAACATAAAGACAGTAGAAGACTCAAGAAAACACAAAATCCAGCCATTGCACAACACACCATGTCAACAGCACACAAAATAAACTTGGTGAAAACTAGAATCATCGAAACAGACAAATTTTGGAAGACAAGAAATATTAAAGAATCATTTTACATAAACACAACAAAGCCTTCACTAAACAGAGATTCCAGATTAAAGGTAAGTAATCTGTGGCTACCATTAGTTGAATCTACAGGAAGTCTCTCCACCAATCAGAAACAGGGATAAACCAACCAATCCACAGTCCACCAGAATACTATAAAGAGTGAAAACATCATACACACACTGACCTGAAGGCAAAAGGCAGAAGAATTTCTAAACATCATCCTCTACACTTGTGTTTCTACAATAGGCAGTTGCTGTCCATTCAACTAAATACCAAGGTCATGTTTGTTTATTTCCGCCGCCAGATGGTCATACTAACTACTCGTATCGTTACAACTAAGAAATACAGTCTGAATGTGAAAACAGTGCAATGTATCATTAAGAATAAGAAATACAGTATGAACGTGAAATAAGCAAAACGTATTGTTAATAGTAAGAAATACTATCTCATCGTGGAAGCAGTGAACGCATCATTGACAGTAAGAAATACTATCTGATCGTGAAAGCAATGATACATATAATTAATAGTAAGAAATACAGTCTGAACTTCTGTTTTCTTTCATTTTCTTTATTAGAGTTTCTTCAAGCACTACCTATCAATTCAAGCTGGCTGTGGTGAGTATTTTTCATGGATTGTTTAAGATTAGAAGAACGTTAACTCATCACTGAGCATTGTTTACTACATTTGTAACAGGAAGCTAGTGAAGGAGATTTGAGGATGTTTTATATTTATTTCTGGTATGCTACTCAAAATAAGATAGCTCACCATTGGAATTTTTCATGAATGGGGAGAATTTAAAAAAATCATTTGACTAACATGATTTTACTTGGTCGAGAGGGGATTTCTGGAGCTGTTAAATTAACTTTCTCTCCCTCTTTTTTTTTCTAATGTAGCAGCTAGTGAAAGCCATCTACTACAGAGAGTTTAGTACCTTACGCTATGGAAATTTTGATTATATAATTCAACAAGTCACCTGTCAACCACAACCAAAATAAAATTGCAGTGAAATGGCATGGATAAGAACTACATTTTTTTTACATTGTTTGGCATTACATCTAAAATATGATGCTACCTAAAACTGATTGCTTTAAGGAAGGCTATGTAAAAGCTTTTTTCTGACGTAAACTATTTATACACTCAGATCATAAAGATGTGTTTAGATCGGAGATTTAGAATTTCCAAGATGGGAATATCCCTTGTACTTCATAACATTGGAAATCAAAGGAATATGGCTCAAATAGATGCACCAGAACCATCTAGAAAGAGATCTGCAACAATTATATCCAGCCATGTAAAGCAAAGTACGACGTCTTTCAACAGATGAAAGCCATAAATATAAAGATCAATGGCAAAATCATGCACTACCCCTGATAACAATATGTGAATTGAAAATAAGTCTCCATCTGTAAAAGTGGAAGAAGTCACGTAAACACAAGTTGCTTCTATGACATATTCCTTGAACTGTAACATACCTCAACCTTCTAGAAGAAGAAAATGGGTATTTAGCTATTCCAAAGTAAGAAGACATATCAATCAAGTCCTCAATAGATTTCTGTGTGATCAGATTGTGTATATGGGCGCTGGGAAACCATCAACCTTGTACACTAGTTATATTATGGAAACCATGCAAGGAGGAATGGTGTGCTTTGAACATTACAGCCTTACGACATAGCCTATTACAACTAAAATTACGCTGCAAGGCTATTGTAAGTATGTACAATCGTTAGATAAATCATATACGAACATGAAACATGGACTGTAATGACCTTGCGAGGCTCTAAAATTGTTTTAATATAACGTACCCAACTCTTCACATTACGAGAAATGTGTTTCATGTTAGAATCAAATTATATATTCCATTTCAATGTTGCAGAACACTGCTGTTTTTATTCATGTTACGTATTTTTCACGATACTTAAATTCTACATTAACAAACAATACATTCGATTGCTTGATTTTACTTTTCTATTTAGGAAATTATTTGAAAATAAACGAAAGTGAAGAAATTAGAGACGTGCCCCTACTGAAAGTCTTTCAAGACGTAAGTAAGAAGTAGAATTGTTCTGTTGAAAAATAGATAAATATGTGTTTGTATCATCAACAGTCAGCTCACTGATTATTTTTTCTTTCCTAGATAATACTTTATTTTATTGGAATTGTGTTGATATTCTGGGTGACCTTGTCAGTTTATCCAGCAGTCACTGTGTTAGTAGAGTCTGTAAGTAAAGAAAGTGGATCTTCCTTTACGGGTTAGTAAGAATTTTTTTTTCGGTGATAAATTAAATATTGTGTTTATGATAATTTAGCAAGAAGTAAAATATGAACAGTTCAATGCACAAGAATGTTTTGGTTGTAAACTTCAAAACATCCAAAAATAAGGTTCCTTTCTTCCTTTATTTAATCACCTCTTGTATAATTAGTTTTATTCGGAAAAGTGTAAGTTAGTGTATTGCTCGCTTAGTAAATTTATAATCTAATCCTTAACCTGATGGTAAGAAACACCCATGTACACTAAGAAAGACCCCAAAAAATGTGTAATTATCACTAGACCCATTACCCCGGAGAATGTGCAGTTAACACCATTACCCCAATCCAAACCGATTACCCTGTATTATGCGTAATCACACCAGACCCATCACTCTGTAAATGTGTAGTTAACACCAAACCCATTTCTCTGGAGAATATTAAGTTAATACTAGATCCATTGCCCCAGAGATTGTTTTGTTTTAACCCCAGATCCATTACCCCGGAAAGTGTGTAGTTAATCCGGACCCATTACCCGGAGATTGTGTAGTTAACTCCAGATGCATTTCTCCAAAGAATGTATAATTAACACCAAACCCATTTCTCTGGAGAATATTAAGTTAATACTAGCTCCATTGCCCCAGAGATTGTGTTGTTTTAACCCCAGATCCATTACCCCGGAAAGTGTTTAGTTAATCCGGACCCATTACCCGGAGATTGTGTAGTTAACTCCAGATGCATTTCCCCAAAGAATGTATAATTAACACCAGGCCCATTATATCGAAGAATGTGTAGTTAAAATCAGACTCATTACATCGAAGAATGTGTAGTTAACTCCAAACCCGTTACCCAAGTGCACATACAATGTAATCTTTCAGTACATTCCGTGCTAGGTGTGTTCAGTTTTTCTTATTTATTGTGTTAACTTTGGAACCAAGCAGAATTTTCTACTTCCAATAGGCACAATGTT